TTTCTACATTAAGTTTTGTAATATTTAGATTTGTGCCACCCCGATGTCCGCTGTACTGTTTGAAACTATAAAAATTAACCGGAATCCAAGTGAATTTTACAGTTTACTTTTTTCCGTGTATTTACTGGCAAAATTAATTATAAATACATAATATTAAGTAAAAATTTTTATTATTGTCAACAGGTTTCAAAAAGCCTGCATCAAATATGGAGTTCCGGATGTTGATTTGTTCCAAGCTGTTGATTTGATGGAGCGAAAAAATATCGCACTTGTTACCAATACTATCTTCGCTATTGGACGCACAGTAAGTAGTCAATAGATTAGTTATTTTTAGTACTTACATTACATTTATTTGAAGAGAAAATGTTATAAAGTCAATGATATTGTGGTAATTAAATACCTGATAAAAATTAGACATTAAAAATATTTTTAAATGTTATTTTTTTTATAAGACTTGAAAAAAAACAACTAAATTTTATTTATTTAATTTTTTTAAGTAAAAAAGTATCCTAAAATTTAATTATCAGTGTTCATTAAAAATAGTTTCCTGTAAATTTATAAATGATCATAACATTTTTTTTTAATAAAAAAAAATATAAAATGGAGTTCATACACAAACATTCCTTTTTAATTAGTAAAAATAAGTTCGATAAAGAAAATAATTAAGAAATAATTCTCAATTTAGTAATTGATCTGAAATAAAAATTAATATTGATTAATTAATAAAATTCTCAGCTTATAACTAAAAAATATTTTATTGAAAAGTAATTATCAATTTTATATAAAAATTAAATTAGCCATCGGAAAATTTTTATAATTTTTTTATTGAAAAAATTATTTAAAAAAAATTCTAAGTGTAATTTTTAAAAACTATTTTTTTACTTATAATTTAAATTGATTCAAAAAATTAAAACTTGTCAAATGTCTGCTAATTTTAGTATCACAATTTTTTTTTTAAGACTTACAAACACCCAGAATGGCGCGGACCTTGGTTAGGACCAAAACCATCAGAAGAAAACAAAAGATACTTCACAGAAGATCAGCTCCGAGCTGGAGAAGCTGTCATTGGTCTCCAAGCTGGTTCCAACAAAGGAGCCACTCAATCAGGCCAGAATTTCGGTGCCAGCCGTAAAATCCTTCTCGGAAAATAAATAGCCCTATAATATTCGCAAGTTGTGTCTCGCGTGTTTTTTTACTAACAGTTAACTTAAAAAGTGGATATAATCAATAAAACTATGTAAAAAAATTATTTGAGATATTTTATTAATTATTCACCTCTATAACAGTAGAATAAGATGAGGTGGGTGCAACGACGTAGACAAGATCGTGGGGCAGGCCAGTTCTTGGGGACCCCCTGAAACAGGAGCGCAGCTTGAGATAAAAGTATCTATCTCGTCGAATTACGTGATTCGATTGCATGAGTGTAGGTGAATCGCGTGTACCGCGGCATATCACTCCTTGGCTATTCTGAGAGCCTCGTGAAAGGGGAGCGCTCCGGAGTGGCCGCACCGCGCATCATTGCGCCCCACTTTCAATCTTTAATCAAGCTAATTCCGCTCTCTTCTCAGACCATAACTCGCTTATTAGAGGTATCTTATGTCTTTCTTGTCTGCTCCTTTGAATATTAAAATTTATAACTCTAAAAATTTACACTAACAAAAAACACAATCAAAATATTCAAAGAATTATTATCACAGCTGATTTTTAATCAGTCAAAATTTTTACTTTTTTATTTTTATTTAAAAAAAATAATTAAAAAAATTTATTTATATCAATAATTATAATAAATACTGAATATTCATTTTTTTATCAACATTTATCATTGTAAATTTATAATATTTTTTTTTTATAAATTATAAATGATAATTGTAATATCTTTCGTGACTATTTTATTATTTTTTCCGAAAATTGGATAAATTTAATGGAGATATTTATCAATTCAAAGAAACAAAAAAATAATAGGCGAGTTATAAAGTTTTATTGACTCGCAAAAAACACAAATTTCAATCATTGTCTTTGCATATTTACACATACATTTTAATGTAACTAATTACAAGTTACCATTCAAAGAAGACTGTTTATCATATTATAATCAATGCTCAACAAAATAATTGTCATTGACATATATTTTACGTGCCTGAAAGACTATTTGGCTTGATATAAGTGCACTTATAATATCCTGTAAGTGCAATATAACAAAAAAAATCAATTTCAGTTTCGAGAAGACTGCTATACATGTCGAGAATAAAGCATACTACCCCATCGCTTTGCCTAAGAGGCAAAGTTTAATTAACGCAATAAACCCAAAGTTTATCTGCGTTGACAACATCAGAAAAGGAGACGTCCGAGGAGCAGGGGAACGCATGAGGTTATTCCCAGAAATAGTCGTCGTGATCCGGAAAAGCTTTCAAATGCTCGGACAACGAGCCTCTGCTTGCTGGTCTCACGACTTTTCCCTTGTGTCCACATCTATGGCATATCAGTCGAAGATTCTCGTGGAATTGCCATACATGGAGTTGCATTCTTTCACGGTTTTTAAGGGTAGGCCGTACTCAGCATATTATCAGAATTTCATTTTTCTAATTAGACCTTAAATAAATTTGAGAATTGAAAAATTCAAAGTTTCCGAGAAAGTAAATATGAAAAATTTACTTGGAAGCCTTAAATTACTTAAATAAAAACTATTCTTACAAAATTATTAGAAAACTAAGATTTTATAAAACGGTTCACTACGGCTCAGCCTTAAAGATCGTTTCTCCACACTCCAGGGTCCAAGCATTTGAAAGTCGTCGTGTCGCCAACCCTTTTGACTCTTTCACGCCACCGGATTTGTCGAAACCTGTCTTCATCTTCCACTCGATATGCCCTCCTTTCCTCGGACGTCCACAAACACGGATGCTCGTTGACGTCTTCAACCATTAGGACCTGTTCAAAAGTCATTGCTCTATCGATCCAGGCCTAGTTGCGAGGTCGCTGGTTTGCTGGTGATAGTTGTTGTTATTCTAATCTTAAAATCATTGCGCTTACAGTATTCCATTTTAACAGCTATTTCCTTGATGGACTTGCTTAATAGTTCATAATATTTGATTCCTAAACCTTTAATGCTCCAGTTCTTGATCTTTTCAATTTCATTGCGACACTCTTGATAAAAATCATCAGTTTTCATTTTCAATCACTTTGAAATTCTCATCAGTTACTTTTAAATCTGCAACTTTCAATTTTAAAATATATTTTTTTATAATAATCTGGATTTCTGAAAAACCGGTTGCGATTTCTAACAGGGTCTGTCGATTTGCGTTAGTCCAATCGATATTAACGCCATAATTTAATAATGATTCTACATCAGCTCTCACTTTATTATCTGCAATTGCGATTTCAATTGGTGTCAAATTATTTAGAGATAAAAATGTTTTAAGACAAGGGTTATTAAGGGCAAAGCTGTTAACAACTAGAATTCTAACTATACTTTCATCAAAAATTGGCGCCATCACAACAACGAAAACTGGCGTAATATGGCGTCTTGTACCTAATTGATTAATATCAGCACCGGGTTGTATTAATTTTTTTATTATAGCCTTATTTCCTTTGAAAATATCTATGTGAAGAGCTGTGCCCCAAACAGATGTTACTTTTTTAACATCAGCTTTCAATGTTGTCATAAGGTGTGATTTAAAATTCGTATCCTCAAAATATATTGCTGTCTGTAAGAGGGTTGGATGTCCCAATGGTTCCCGTGTAAAAAAAAATCGTCTTAAAATTGTCGTTCGTTTAAGATCTTAAACGTGACACAAACTAAGACTATTTTAAGACTCTTTTAAGACGCCAAAAGAAAAATTCCGAGAGCAGATTTTTGAAAATTTTGTTCTCGAATTTGTTGTGAAAATTAATTTTTAGATGATTTTACGACTTTCTAACCGCAATATTTTTGATTTTAAGACGATTTTTTTTTACACGGGTTGACATTTAATTGCCCTATTACCTTTTTTTTTTATTTTCGTTGAATCTTTTTTACATAATTCATACTCTCGTATTAGTTCCTTCAAAACGTTTTGATCTGGTAATTCCATATTTTATGTTTGCTGTTTTCTGAGGTTAACAACTGGTAAGAAGTATTTTTTAAATGAGATTGATAAATCATTCGATTAAATAAAGACAACGTATAAAATTTTTAATTGTGTAGATACTAAAAAAAGGTCAACTTGATTCAAGTGAATAATTCTTGAAATAAGAAAATTATTTTGGAGAGTTTTGTCGTCTCTATACACAAAGAAAAAAAATATTATTGTCCAAACAAGAATATCTTAGTACAAGGAAAACGTTAAAAATATTCATTTGATTATTGTTAACTATTAATTTCATCGAGCAAACAGATGGAAAGCTTGATATTTGCATTAACCTTCTTACAAAAACAAGAGCATAAAGTTTGAACTTTTGGCTACAAATGAAAAATTTTTATTAAATTTTTCTAATAAAAAAAAAATCATAAAAATTTTTAAATGTCGGCTCACTTATTATGTTCATAATAAATTATCATTATTACTATCATTAATGTTTAAATAATATTAAAATTTTTTTATTTTTATTTCAAATAAAAATTTTTTAGTATTTTTTAAGTGCGACGTCACGCTCTGTCACGCTCTTAGGACGTCACGATTCCAACTGCGTAAGAGATCTCCCCTTCTCCAAACTTAACTGTTCCAAAGAATTTACAAATAAACAAATAAGTTGATTAGTACAGTGAAAGGATTGTGATGGCGCAGTGTGCAACTGAGTTTCATAATAACTATAGTATACTAAGTAAGTATAATTTAAAGTGCGCACATTGTTTATAACTGTTGCGCATGCGCGCAGTTAATTTCAAAATGGCGTAGAGTTAGGAGGTAAATAACAAAACTCTCCGACAAAGATAAATAAATAAGCAATGGTGATAGTGATAAATATTAAATAATATATGTAAATAATTTAGTTATCAGTTTTAATACGTAATTAGTAAAATAATAATGGCGACTAACAAGGAATTTAAGTATAACGCTGACAATATTGGAATATTTTCTAGCCCTAGTTCACGTAAGAACAGCCAATCAACAGGTAAATTCTCCACGTCATATGTTTATAAAATACAAATGAGTATTTATGATATTAAATACCATTTTTTAATTTTATTTAACAAAGAATTTTTTTCCAAATAATTATTTTTAAAAAATTGTGACGCTGAAGTTGACAGATAGTAAACATTTTCTTAAAATTTTATACCAATTAAATTATCATAAAACAAAATTTAATTAAAAAATTCCACACGTGAAAATTAATAAAAATTGCAAGTGAAAATTTTTAAAAGCATTTTTTTAATGAAAATTAAATTAGCCGACACTTAAAAATTTTTATAATTATTTTTATTGAAGAAAATTGTTACAAAAAAATGACATTAAAGTCAGCTGTCACTTGATAATTTTTTAATTTTTTTTAATAAATAAATTTGCTCCAAAAAATTATTTTTAAAAAACTGCATTTATAATTTTTAAAAATTTTTACATGTTAATTTTTTTGCCACAATTTATATGAAAATTGAGTTAGCCGATATCTAAAATTTTAAGAAGTTTTTTTATTAAAAAAATAAAAAAAATACTTTAAAAACTATAAGTGCAATTTTTTGAAAATATTATTTAGTTTTAATTTAATAATTAAAAAAAACTCAAGAAATTAACACTGTCGACTAACTTTAATATTATACAATTTATTTGTTAAAAAAATTCTAAAAATTATTAATTATCTATTAAATTGATTCTCGTTACAATAAAATTAAAAGAAAAAATTTCACATGTAGAAAATTTGAAAAATTATACGTGCAATTTTTTCACTTGGAATTTAGTTGTTAAAAAAAAATAGAAAAATTTTTGAACGTCGGCTGACTTTAGTATCATTTTTTTATTATAATTGATTTGTTAAAAAATTTTTTTCATTGATAGCTGACGGCTAACTTCAGTATTATAAAAAATTGCATTTTTTATTTTTTAACCCGTTGAGGACACACGGGGTCCAGTGGACCCCACTCAGCAAAACAATTCTAATTCATTTCCTATGTGATGTATTGACTTATAATTAGCCCCAAACTTTAATATAACATTCTATCTAAATATCTTGATAGTTATTTTTAATTTCTAATAATTTAACAATACTGAAAAATAGTTTAGAAAAAAAAACTTACGAAATTGAACTTTTTTTATAAAAAAAAAGTCGCAGAAATTTTGATTTTTACGATATCGAAAAAAAACCGACGCCATTTTATTCGGAAAACAATATATTTTGAGGAAAAAAATCAATATTTGATGAAGTTTGAAAAAAATTTATTTATTCTGAAGTATGAAGTTACGAATTTCGGTCAGTCGCTTAAAATGTGAATAAGACATTTAAACATGCAAAATAATATAAGGTAAAGTACCCAGTAGTTAAACAGGTTTCAAAGTAAAACGTATTTGACCCTAATTTTAATATACAAATATGTAATTATTAGTTCAATTTAATAATTTCATGAAAATATAAACAATTTTGAATTGATTGAAGCGCAAAATAACAAAAATAATTGAATATTTATAATTTGACAACGTTTTTAAGATAGACTATAAAAAGAGTAGTAGTTGAACAATCAATTCTGACAAGCCGCAGTAGTTGACCACTCCGGGAGCAGTAGCTGAACTAATAAAATATATGGCAATAGGCACACCAAAATTTTTTAACGTTTAATTGAAATATTCAAAGATTTATAATATATTATTGAATAATATTAAAAATAACACTGTGAATATTTAATATGTTCATTTAAAAATGAGAAATATTTGTATTTAATTTATTAATTACATTTTTTATGAATGACAAAGTAAATTTTCAATTATAAATCAAAAAAACTCAATTCAAAACGTTCAATAGTTTTTAACTATACTAATTTTTAGTTATAAAACTTATTTAATTTGCAGTAATTAATACAAATCACAATACTGATAAAACTAGTCTATAAACCTATTAGAGATTAGAGTGCTGTTAAAATTATACCGCCCCAGCTTGTTCAAGTTCTGGGTACAGGTTTGAAAATTTGGAGGTATAGTTAGACGCTAAAA